AAAACAGTTTATACTTCCTTACAACAATGGTGGGATTGTGGCAAGGTCCACATAAAACAGTTATGTCAAGAGTACACTCTTAATGCCACTAAAGATATGGCCCAGTCAATGAAGATTTTAGAAAATGAAATTATAGAACTTTTAAATACAACAGCTTCTACAGGTGACGGTGATTGCTTTGATAGTAGCAAATCCAAAAAGGAAATGCTTGCAGATATGTTGGGTACAAAAGCTCCAAGGGGCGTTAATACGTTCACGTTTTCAAAGCATCTCACAAATGGATGCACCATCTAAATTTTTTTTCAATTTGGAAAAAAAAAACGGCCAAAGTCGTATCATTCATTCATTACGCTCGGACACAGGGAAAGAGCTTACTGAGCCTAGTGAGATACGCAAACATGCTGTTGATTTTTATTCAAACTTATATAGATGTGAATTGTCTCAAAGAGAAGATATGATTTTACTTTTTTTAACGGTCTTCCAAAGATTGATGAAGAGTCTAACATTAAGCTTGAACAAAATTTGTCACAAAAAGAATTATATATCGCTATGATGAAGATGGAAAATGGAAAAAGTCCTGGCATTGACGGGATTCCTGTTGATTTTTATAAAATTTTATGGCCAGTGATTGGTGAAGATTTCTTTTTAGTTCTTAATGACAGTTTGAATAAAGGATTGTTACCATTAAGCTGTAGAAGAGCTGTTATTACCCTCCTGCCCAAGAAGGGAGATCTCCAAAATATAAGCAATTGGAGACCGATATCTCTGTTATGTGCCGACTATAAAATTTTGTCAAAGGCTTTAGCTACAAGGTTAAGTCAAGTTCTGAGTCAAATAATACATTCTGATCAGAATTATTGCATACCCAATAGGTCAATCCTCGATAACGTCTCATTGGTCAGAGATGTTTTGGAGGTTGCAAGGCTATTCGGTGTAAATGGTGGTCTAATTTCGTTAGACCAAGAAAAAGCCTTTGACCGTGTAGAGCATGCATATTTGAGAGATGTTTTAGAAGCTTTTGGTTTTAGTCAGGTTTTTATAAATATGATTGAGGCCATGTATTGTGACATTGAAAGTGTTCTCAAAGTCAATGGTGGTTTGAGTGCTCCGTTTACGATTCAGAGGGGAGTTAGACAGGGATGTGCCATGTCGGGCATGCTTTATTCCCTGGCTATTGAACCTCTGCTTCATAAATTAAGAAATGAGTTGAGTGGTTTTACTATACCACACTGTAATATCACGTTGCACCTTTCTGCTTATGCAGACGATGTAGTTGTTTTTATATCTGGTGCTGATGACATTGAAAAATTGAAGATTATTGTTAACAGTTTTAAAAAAATGTCTTCTGCAAAAGTCAACTGGGGGAAAAGTGAGGCCCTTTTAATGGGCGATTGGAATAGAGGTCCACCCAGTTTGCCTGGTGGTTTAATGTGGAAGAAAGGTGGATTTAAATATCTTGGAATTTTTCTAGGGAATGATGACTTTGTTACAAAAAATTGGGATTGTATGCTAGAAAAAATCAAAGGACGTTTACAGAGATGGAAATGGCTACTCCCCAAACTGTCTTATCGAGGTCGTACGCTCATAATCAACAATCTGGTGGGATCCTCGTTATGGCACAGACTTGCCTGTGTCGATCCGCCTCTGGGACTGTTACCAAAACTTCAAGCAGAAATGGTCAGTTTCTTCTGGGATAATCTACACTGGACGCCTCAAAGTGTTCTTTTCCTGCCAAGGGATGAAGGAGGTCAAGGCTTGGTGAATCTGGTCAGCAGAGGAGCGACTTTTAGGCTGCAGTTCATTCAGCGTTTGCTGATGGGTCCCAGAATCTAGTGTGGAGACCATTAGCACAGACTATCTTATCTGGAGTGAACGGAATGGGACTTCATGCTGTACTGTTTTTAATGGACTATAATCTCCTGGATTTGTCTAGAATACCTTCATTTTATAGAAGTCTTTTTAAAGTTTGGAGACTTTTTAAGCATGAATGGGCAGAGTCAGCCACATCTCTTTTCTGGTTGCTTGAGGAACCTGTTGTGTTTGGAAGTCGCCTTGATGTGTCAGGAGTTGACCTTCCAGGACTAAAAAACTTGCTTGTGTCAAAGAAACTGTTGCAATTGAAAGATATTGTTAAAAAAGCAGGACCTGGACTAAAAAATGCAGAAACTGTTGCTACACATTTGGAGTAAGATCAGTGAGATTTGTTAGAAGTTTTCTGAACAAACTGGATGGGGTTTTAAACTCCAAGGAAAAAGCTCTACTTGAGAGTTACAGTATGGGTAAGATTGTCCCTGATGATAATGACCTCTTCCCAGATATCAGAAGTACACCTGATCTTGAGGAATGCTCACATAATAGTCCTCTGTTGTGTTTGAATGCAAATGAAAATGTTGATTTGTGTACAGTTAAAGGAAAGATCTTATATAAATGTATTGTGAAGGTAATAAATAAACATACATTAAAAGGTAGAATCGACACAGTATGGAGAGACAAGTTTGGAGTGGTAGAGGAATTAAAACCAGAGTGGAGAGTACTATACAAACCACCATTGACTAAAAGAGCAGGCGATCTCCAGTGGAGAATACTGCATGGTGCAATCGCTGTAAATGCCTTTGTGGCGAAATTGAATCCCACTGTAAATGATAATTGTCCTTTCTGTTTAGAGAAAGAAACAATATTCCATTGTTTTATGAACTGTCACAGACTTTCTCCACTTTTTGACCTTCTGGAATTTTTATTCTCTTTATTAGGTATTTCTTTTACAAAGCAATGTTTTATATTTGGCTTCAAGTATAGTAGATTACAGAAGTACAAGTGTCAATTGATTAACTTTATTGTTGGCCAAGCCAAATTAGCAATTTATATTTCCAGAAGGAATGAAATAGAACAGAGAAATGGGCAACATATTGTATCAGTTTTTAAGAATATGTTTAAATCAAGAATTCTTGTTGATTTTAATTATTACAAGATGATGAATGCAATCAACATTTTTGAGATTGAATGGTGTTGTGATGTTGGTATGTGTTCTATACTTGACAATGAGTTGTTTTTTATATGTGATTTAAGGTAAAGTCATGTAGTGTTGTTGTTGGTTTTTGATTGTTGTTGTGTTTTCTTTTGTTAAATAACAAATAACTGTTGTTGAATAAAGCGTTTTAAAACTCAACTCTCTCTCTCTCTCTCTCTCTCTCTCTCTCTCTCTCTCTCTCTCTCTCTCTCTCTCTCTCTCTCTCTCTCTCTCTCTCTCTCTCTCTCTCTCTCTCTCTCTCTCTCTCTCTCTCTCTCTCTCTCTCTCTCTCTCTCTCTTCTTCCTCCATAGTGGTTGGTTGGGATGGAAGAGTAAAAATGAAGAGGAGTCGGTGCAGAAACAGAAGCCAAAGGTGGAGCCGGCCACAGCCCTTCCTGTTAGGTAAATCTGAATGCAATAACACTACCTTCCAATGTTGCTTTTTTTCTTTTCATCATATACACACCAGTGTTGGGTGTAATACATCACTAATTAATTATTGTAATTAATTCACCTTTCCCTTGATAAATAAAGGGATTAGGGGGAAGTAAAGTAAAGAATTACTCTTCATTTTTCTTTAATTAAATTACAGTTACTTGTGATGTAATGGACTGTATAGACCAATAGATCTATTCTATATAAAACAATATAGGATTTAACATGTAATTTTGTGCATGTGAAGATTTGAAAATCTTGCTTTCCCCCATCACAGTTAAATTACGGAGGCTACACTAGTTACTTTTGCCAAGAGATTTATTATTTATTATGTATCATGTGTCAGACAGAGAGAAACAGGCATATAACAATAAGGGTACAGACGAGGAGGTCTTCATTCCAGATTTCTCTATCCTCCAGCTGTAAATGGTTTCTTGGTGTTGGTTTCATTATGAAATTATTATAAAAATGAATAATTAATTTATAAAAAAAAAAAAACATTTTCCCTACAAATAGTCTGGTCAGAATGCAATTTTATATTATTTATTTTAAAGAATTAAAAGTAAATAAAACTTAAGAAAGAAAAATAAAAATAAAATTTTTCTGCTTTCATCAGGTTTGGTCTTCCAGATTCTCGTCGACATGGCGAGTCAATCTGTCTCTCTCCATGTAACACTATGGCTGGAGTCACAGATGATTTTGGCAGAGTCACGCTGCTGGATGTGGCACGAGGCATCGCTATCAGGATGTGGAAGGGTGAGCAGTGTAGCGCAACTAATGTAGTCGGATTTGCGAACAAGCATCTAATGACCCTGTTCGTATTAAATTTCAGAAGTATCTTGTGACAAACAAGATTTGAATCAGTGTGACAAATGCTTTAGTGAACAAACACACTAAAAACATCAGAGCAAATCAGTATCATTAGGGACTGCTTGTCCTTGTGACAATGTGTAGTTAAGTTATTTTTTTGTAATAAATTACTTTTTAGTTTTAAAAACTAAAAGCATGCAACTGTAAATTTAATCTTAAAACATTTTTAGGATATATTTTATTGTACAAAATATAATTAATTTGTTTTAAATATAATTAAGTAAATACTATAATTATACAAATAATTTAAACTATATAAAATAATTTTATTTTAATAATTATAATATTAGTATTTATAAAATGTTATATGCAATGATATATAATTATGTAATACAGTACACTACTGTTCAACTGTTTGTGAGGTAAATATTTTTAAAAAATATTTAAAATTTAGATTTCTGTTTCAAGTCAATGCTTTGAACTTGCTATTCATCAAAGAATCCAAAATGTATCACAGTTTCATTTTATGCAGCACAATTTCCTAATAAGAAATATTTCTTGAGCACCAAATGATTTCTGAAAGATCATGTGAAAATTAAACATTTGTTTTAAATTGTAATATTTATTTTAAATAGTAGTGTACATAAACTTTTTTATTGTGTGTAGGCTATCGTGATGCTCAGCTCGGGTGGGTGCAGGTGTCAGAGGCTCCTGGGGAGAGAGAAATAGCCACATCTCCCTCTATGCCCCGCCGGCACGCCCAGTTTCTGGTGATTTATGCCCCACGTAGGGGCATTTTAGAGGTGTGGGGAACTCAGCATGGACCTCGAGTGGGGGCTTTTACTGTAGGCAAACATTGCAGGTACACACTTTAACTAAAGAAAAACTAAAATACATTGCTACAATTCAAACATGCATGTTAATTAATTCATTTCTCTCTCTTAAGGCTGTTGTATTCAGGTCACAGGTTAATGGGTGTGAATAGTGTAACCAGTCAGGGTTGGCAGATACACACACAGCAGGTGTGTCTGTTTGATCCGGTAAATGGAGCCCTGAGAGCCATCACCATACCATTCCACCTGGCACTCAGGTACACACTCATACATAAAAAATGAACTTTAATATAAAAAAAGATATAATGCAGGTGAGAACAGATGTATCTATTCTGTTTGTTGGTCAGTGATAAGAAGAGTGAGCGTGCTAAAGACATGCACCTCCTAAGGAGACTCACCACTCTACTGAGGACCAGGGAGGTGGAACCAGGTCAGACATACCTCATAGTTCACACAAATATGTAAATTCTGTCATCATTTACTCATTCTCAATTTATTCCAAACCTGTATGAATTTATATCTTCTGCTGAACTCTAAAGAAGATATTTTAAAGAATATGGGTAACCAAACAGTTGATGGGCCCCAATAACTTCCATAGTATGGAGAAAAAAATAATATGGAAGTAAATAGGGGCCTATCAACTGCTTGATTACTGACATTCTTCAAAATACCTTCTTTTGTGATCTGAAGAAGAAAAAAAATTCGTAAAGGTTTAGAACAACTTGAGGGTGAATAAATGATGACAGAATAATAATTTTGGAATGAATTATCCCTTTAATATTCCCGAGAGACCATGCATATACATCAGAATATCTTCAGTTGTCTTGAGTTGTCTTGTTTGTTTTGTTGTTGTTGTTGTTTTTAAGAACTACTAATACCCATTTTTGTGTTTAAGTTCTATTGTTCTGATGTGTCCACATGTTTGAGTTTTCCTTTTGATCTTTGATTGATAGCTCTGCTTGAGAGTGAAGCACAAAGTGTGTTATTGGACATTAAACATCCAGCTATTAAGAAACAGGTTAGTAAAACCCACACCGCAACATATTCATTCATCTATGTTAATAAATATTTAAATAATAACATTTCTGATTGATTAACAGGCCCTGGAGTCACTGCTGTCCAATAAGAATGCACCAGTGTCCTGTTTGACCCATGTTACTCGTGCATTATTGGCTAGCCTGAAAGAACAAGGTAACTCCTTCCATCCTCACAGGGCACTGTGTATTTTTCATATTTAAACACTGATCTGGTTTTCCTGCGTCTTCGTATTAGATCCTGAAGCCGTGGATGAGTCGTTGCTGCAGTTTTGTTCATCACAGCTCAAACTTCTCCAGCTCTATGCAGATGTTCAGTTACTGCACACACCAGATACGTCACCCACTGAGCCAGAACATGTGAGTAACACATTCGCAAAGACGCTATCCAGTTAAGCAAACTAATATACCGTAATATCACACTTAGATTGGAATTTAAGGTTTCTGTTCTCTGTACAGCCGTCTTTTTCTGGCATTGAGGAGGATCTTGCTCGTGTTGGCCCAATCCTGCAACGATACACAGAGATGAACTCTAGGCCCTCTGTCTCATTTGCTCAAGACTCTAGTGGGCCGCTGCCAGTCCGAACATTTCTGTCTCAGTTGGAATGGGTGAACGGAGAGCTCAGAGTGATTAAACAACCTGATTCCGACTGGACCCAACTAGGTAAAACCGCTCCCTGCTAGCATTATTTTAATATTTAAAGGACCCCTTGTGGTGAAAATAAAATTTTTAGTATTGTTTATGTATATGTGGTGTTTTTAATATGCTTTTACACAAACATGTAACGAATCCTGTCAACGTGCAGGTGGGGCTTTACTCCAATGACTTTCTATGATGTTCAGATCATCTAACTTTTTAGATGGCGAACAGGAACATGTTTGTGTAGCATTAAAGGGATACTCCACTTTTTTGGAAATAGGCTCATTTTACCACTCCCCCAGGGTTAAACAGTTGAGTTTTACTGTTTTCAAATCCATTCAGCCGATTTTCTGATATTTAGAAGAATATCAGTAACCAGACAGTTTCTGGTCTCATTGACTTCCATAGTAGGAAAAAATATATAGTAGTCAATGAGACCAGCAAATGTCTGGTTACTGATAGTCTTCTAAATATAAAAAAAAAATCGGCTGAATACATTTGAAAATGGTAAAACCCAACTGTTTAACTCTGGGGGGAGTGGTAAAATTAGCCTATTTCCAAAAAAAGTGGAGTATCCCTTTAATGGGTTATATGCACGCTTAAGTTCCGCATTTGACGTAAGGATGCTCGTCCATTTCCGGTTGTGTAGATTAAAGCGGAGGAAAACCGGAGAAAACGGGATTATGGCAGAGTCTTCAATATTTACTGTCCTCCCGTCTTTGAAACGAAACGTACATACGTTTATATGTAATTAGTGTGAATGCTTCAAGCATTCACACTCTTGAAATCCAAATCTTTCTTATTATTCCGTATTCTTCCGTACGTTTTTCGGTCGCTTTCTTCTCCTCTCTACTTTGTGCTACAAAAACCATTCAAGTATCAAAATGTGCAGCTTTTCAAGGACATGTGTGCTATTACTTTTCTTTTTTATAACCTTTATACTTTTTAAATTATTAAACTTTTTGTGCATATTTTTTAACATGGAAGTCAATGGAGAATTCTTCAAATTCTGCTTTATGCTCCTTCTGCTTTCAAAGCCTACAACTTCTGCATACTTTCAGCTATTTCTGTCATTTAAACTTTAAAATGTTGAGAAATTTGTAAGCTATTAAAGTTGTATTCAACTTTTTGATATCTATTATACTTTTTTCACAATCTCTACTTTAGTCTCATGATGTTTTTCAAGCCGTTTCTGAAATTATAATGGGAGTGAATGAGAGAGACTGTTCAGAGCTAGAGCACGTGATGTCATAAGCTAGAGTGTGCCAGCTTGAAAACTAATGCTAAAAAATAATTTTTAAATCGCTGGCCTGACCACAATTTTCACTCTTTGGGCATGAAATTATACTTGAAACGTAGGTATTTTTGTTGTGGTTCCTCTCATGTGTTTAGTAAATCCCTGGGACTTATAGTTTTTTCACTGTGTCCTTCCAAAGCACAAGAGTGACAGACAATCCTCCATTGGCAGCAATTATAAATTCAGGTCAAACTTTTGTGATCAGAGCATTACGAACCAGTTTTTTAACTTGCCAAAGTGGTCCCTTTTTTCAACTCTATCCACACAAAAAATACATCACATCGTTCACAAAGGCCTTGTCTCGCTCACGGTCAGGTCATTTCGCCAATACAACCTATAGTTTTGTCTCTAGGGAGGTTTGTTTGAGGCCAAGTATCAGCAATTTTGGCCTCTGTCTAAATAGGAAAGCTGATTGCACAGGTGATGCTGATTAGCAAAGATCAAAGGGAGACACACATAACTGGTCCTGTGTTCTGATTGGTGGAAAGTCACTCAGCTCTTTTCTGAAGGATACTACAAGTTTTTGTTGCATTTATGCTTCTTCTCCTGTTCTCCCTCTCTCTTCCCTCCTCTTCTCCTCCTCCAATCCTCTACTCCTCCTGTCCTCCTATTCTCTCCTCCTTTCCTAATCTCTTCTCCTTTCTACTCTTCCTTTTATCCTCTTCTATCCATCTGCCTGTCTATTTGACTTTCTGTGTCCAAATGATCTATGTATCTATGTCTCTATCTATGTATCTATCTATGTATCTATCTGTGAATCTATCTGTGAATCTATCTGTGTATCTATCTATCTATCTATCTATCTATCTATCTATCTATCTATCTATCTATCTATCTATCTATCTATCTATCTATCTATCTATCTATCTATCTATCTATCTATCTATCTATCTATCTATCTATCTATCTATCTAACCCATTTCTAACTAATTTATCTTTCTTTCTTTCTAGATAATCTATCTTTCTTTCTAACTATGCTATCTTTCTTTCTAATTAATCTTTTTCTTTCTAACTATACTATCTATCTTTTTAACTGATCTATCTTTCTTTCTAACTAATCCTTTCTTTATTTCTAACTAATCCTTTCTTTCCTTTTTTTGTCCTTTCAAATCCATCTTTCTTTCTAACTAATCCTTTCTTTCTTTCTTTCTTTTTTCTTTCAAATTCATATTTCTTTCTTACTAATCCTTTCTTTCTTTCTTTCTTTCTTTCTTTCTTTCAAATCCATATTTCTTTCTAACTAAACTTTCTTTCTTTTTTCTTTCTATCTTTCTTTCTTTATTTTTCTATCTATCTATCTATCTATCTATCTATCTATCTATCTATCTATCTATCTATCTATCTATCTATCTATCTATCTATCTATCTATCTATCTAATCCATCTTTCCTTCCTTCCTTCTTTCTTTCTTTCTTTCTTTCTTTCTTTCTTTCTTTCTTTCTTTCTTTCTTTCTACCTAATCCATCTTTCTTTCTTTCTTTCTTTCTTTCTTTCTTTCTTTCTTTCTTTCTTTCTTTCTTTCTGTCTGTCTATCTTTCTGTCTATCTTTCTTTCTGTCTATCTTTCTTTCTTTCTCTTTATTTCTAATAATCTATCTATCTATCTATCTATCTATCTATCTATCTATCTATCTATCTATCTATCTATCTATCTATCTATCTATCTATCTATCTATCTATCTTTTTACCTAATCTTTCTTTCTTTCTTTCTTTCTTTCTTTCTTTCTTTCTTTCTTTCTCTACCTTTCTTTTTTGTACTCCTTTGCTTCTCTACCTCTGTCTCTTTCTCTACCCCTTTATTTCTTTACCTGTGTCTACTTCTCTACCTCTCTTTACCTCTCTAAATAAACTTCTAGTTTTCTAAAATTTTTGGATCTTGTTTTGCATTTCAGCTTATTAAATGCATTTTAATTAAGCTTTTTTTTGCTTTTTTGCTCTGTTTTGCTGTTGTTTTTGCATTTCAAATATTTGAACTGCAATATTTTGCATTTGTTTGTACATTTCAGTTCAGCTTTTGAAGCATTCACACGCATATTCCGCAGGAAATGCAATTTTTCTAGTTTTATATATAGTTATGTTTATTTAATATAATTTTAAAAAGAAGCATAAACACAACGAGGGGTGTCTGTTTTATCTGTTTTTGTGACTAACGTTTCATTAGTATAACCATGGAGTATAAAATTCAATATAAATTCTCGGTATTGCATTGGACTGTATGATCGGCGGAAGTTATCGAGCATCCTTAATCCTTCACCGGAAATAACGCCGTGCATAGAGCCCATAGCATACTATTAGCTGTTTGATAATGTAGTCAAGCCTAAAGCTAATCATATAATTTACGGTCATGTGTCTGACATTGTTGAGAGCAATACATAAAAGCCTTTGACCATTCTGATACATCCACTTGTTGATGACTCTGTGTAATTCACTGTTCAACTACTTCTTATAACATATATGGCTGAATTAAACCAATGTTTCCACTTGCTATTTTGTAGTGTTTACTACAGTAAAGTTGACCAAGTGGAATAGGTACTCCGAACTGGTGTGATTGAGTGGAGGCAGGGACTAATTTGCATATTCTCTTAATTTATTTTTAAAACACAATAATAACCAAATGTTATCTTTTGCAAATCTCAAAATGAATATCCATTTTTGTACTGGCTAAATTTACTTGTTACATTTTAAATGATTTTTAGTGTTTATTTTGAATGTATTTAGACAAAATGGTATATAATATTAAAAATGGCCATTTAAAGGTTATTAGCCGTAAAATGAAAATAATTATAAGCGGTTAATTGATATGTAAATTTGAATGCTTTCAGGTAGTTTCCTGTTCTGGGGTTGTCTGTCTGGACAGAGTCCTTTACAGAGAGTGTGTGAGACTCTGCAGGAAAGTGGCATCAGCCCTCAGCAGCTATTGGTAAGATAAAGGGATGTAAAAGAGCACACAAGATGGAAGAATCGATTATAATGGGTGGATATATGGATTAAATGGAGGATGGAATGATTAGAAAATAATGCGAATTAGCTGAGATTTTTGCTCTTTATAAAATTCTCTCCTTTTGATTTCACACTCTCTCTCTGGCAGTCTTTGCTCTTGTCAGTTTGGCTGAACAAAGAGAAAGAAGTTCTGAAGTTCCCAGATGCCGTCTCACACCTGCACACGTTGCTGTCTACCCTCAGCTCAATGAAAGGTTTTTAACATCATCTGGAGGAGAGACTGACCTTGTATCCTCTATATTTTATCATGTATATTGATATTTCAATTGTGTGTATCAGGAGCAGTAAATGAGTCATGGGACGGCCAGAGTGTCTCACCCTGGTGGCAGCAGGTCCGCACAGCATGTGTTCAGTCTGAAAGCGCGGCCTCAGCACTACTGGCTGCTCTAGTCGCTCATCGTGTAGCCAAGAATGCCATCACCAGGCTGGCAGAGAGCAAGGTGTCTGTGTGTGTCTTTTTTTCTGCAGCTATAGAATTGGTGCAGTGTGTTTAACTCTCTTTCTCTCTGTGCAGTTTCAGGAGGAGTGGGTGTGTGTTTCTCTGGAGTTGGAGCAGTGGGTTGTGTGTATAAAACAGTTGGAGGATGTTCTTGCTCTGCAGACGCTGCTCTGCCTGCCGTCTCATCAGGGCTCTACTGGGGGCACTGTTACACGCTGCTCAGTCAAAACGCTATTAGAGAGTGGCAGAGGTGCATAAAACACACATACACTACTATTCCAAATTGTGGGCACAGTAAGAAAGTTTAAGTAATTAATGCTTTTATTCCGCAAGGATGCCTTAAATTGACCAAAAGTGTCAGTAAAGATATTTCCAACGTTACAAAAGATTTCTATTTCAAATAAATTTAGTTGTTTTTAACTTTGTTTATTGAAGAATCGACTGTTTTTTGCCAAATAAATGCAACTTTTAAAGTTAGTGAATATTGAATCTGTCAGTAAAATTAAGATTAAAATCTTTTTTTTTGTCTTTTAGGTGGTGTAGCAGACTGCGTTTCAAAATTGATCTTCAGACAGGGTGTGTCTCCAGATCTCTTGAGTAAGATCCTTCAACAGAAGGGAGAGAATGAGCCCACGGAACAGACATTTCAGCAAGGCAGGGAAGAGAAACTGGAGGGTAACCATGGGGATTCTTGATCATGTCAATTTTTCCATGGTGGTTTCTTTTAACCCTCTGTGTGTGTTCTGTGTTTGACTAAAGCATGTGTGTGTTGTCTCAGAACTTCTGGAGTGTGTGTGTCAGCGGTTTCCAAGCTCTCTGTCTCCTGATGTGCTGTTTGCTCACTGTAGCTGGGAAAATGTGGTCCAGTGGAACAAAGACCCAGAGGTAAAGACTTTAAAAAGTCTCAAATCTTTCTGATAATAAGGTTGGGAACCAATTTCCAGTTCTTATTTAGAACTTAAAAATAAATATTGGAACCAAATTACTTGTTTTTGTGTATTTACATTAATTTAGCAAAATATATGTAGTATTGGAAATCTAAATAAACATTTTAATACATTTGTAACACTACAACTGACAAGAGTGTGTCTGCTTCCTGAACAGGGTTAGGGAGATTATTCCACAGTTTGGGTGGGTGCTATGATCTACTGCCTTTTGATATTCTAGGTATTATCATCAACTGGACAGAATTTTGAGATCGCAGTAGACGTGAAGGACTAAAATGCGTTTAGAGCTTACTCAAGTACTGAGAAGTTAAACCAAGTGCTGCTTTGTAATTAATTAGCAAGATTTTAAAATGTATGTGATGTTTAATAGAGAGCAAGTGCAGTGCTGACAGAACTGGGCTAATATGGTCATACATCCTGGTTCTAGTAAGAACTCTACCTGCTGCATTTTGGATCAGCTGGAGTTTGTTTTTTACACTTGCTGTTTATTAAGCGTGCAGGGCAACCACCCACGAATCTGAGTACTGATATGGTATGATATGATATAATATATACTGATAGTCCTAATATTGAAATAAAATATCAGCCAATCACAGAGTAAACTTTCTGCACTTTCACAACTCTCTTTCTGTTAAGGTGGGGCAGTACTTAGAGTGGTCAGTGGAGTTTTTGAAGATGATCTCCAGTCCTTACATTCAGTTGGGTAAGATTTACTAATAAAAATGACATATATGTTTTCTGTTGCCTGAACAAGTTGCCACAACGTATTTCTTCACAACAGAAGGATTTCCATATGATAACACTCTCTCCCTCAATTATGCTCTTCCCTCAGGTGTCTCTGCTATGATGTGGCAGACCTTCATAGTCAAACGGTTTTCAGCTGCTGCCTTCCTAATGGAAAAGGTTTGTGTGTCTGTGTACTTTGGCTCTTTCTCTTTGTGTGCAGTGACTAACATTAAATAATTGATGGTGCATGTGTTGATCTAGGTGGGAAAGGCACCTAAAGACCGGCTGTGCAGACGGGTAAGAGAAGACACAAAGAATTAATTCAATTTAGATCTGTTTCATTTTAATTAACTTATCTGCGTGTGTGTGTTAAGGATGTCGGAATGGGAGACGCAGCTGTGAAGAGTTTCCTTGGCTCCTGCGTGCAGTTACTGCAGGCTCTGATGGAGGTCTCATCTTCCTCTTTTTTCCCTTCCTATCCTTTTTTCACAGTAAGGACTGATCAAACAGTGGATGCATGGATGGAAGCATGGCTTAAGATATCGTGGATTTTTTACAAGAATGGTTAACAAATTATGGGTTGAAATAAAAGTGTGAAATCTATTATAAATGTCTTTTCTCTCTCAGGCGGATTCAGGGGTGGAGGAAGTGTCTGTTCCAGATGTGAGCGTGGAGGAAGTGTGGAGCAGTGCTGAGGGTCCAGTGTCTATTGTGGAGTTAGCTTTGGATCACAGATCCATACACTATCCCCTCGTTCAGCATCACTGTGTGTTAGCTTCACTGCTGCATGCCGCCATGACCTTCTCCCTGCGCCTGAAACCGCTCAGTCTGTTCGACAGCAAGGTAAAAACAGGACAACAAAAAACAATTATGTCACACTTAACTGTATTTTTTCACCAAGAAATCAAAATTAAATTGCCCTCCCTCTTGTTCTTACATCTGTTCTCTGATGCTCAGCAGCGCAAGGACTGAACAATAATCCATCACCTCCCGCAGTCTGTCTAGCAAACTACGAGATGATCGTTTTTTTTTCTCGTTCGATTTTCCATTTCTCTCAGATGTACATCACTCCAAGGAAAAAAAGATTCAGGGATGTGATTTTTACGGATTGATCCGGAATTCCGGATTTTCCGACCTGAAAATGTGACCTACGTGAATCATGCAGATCTGTAAAAAAAAAAAAAAAAAAAAATAGAGGGGGACGGGTGTCGGCAGCCGGAGTGAAAAGGAGAGAATTTGCTGACGTTCGTACAGAAAGTTCCTTTCAAAGTATCAACAAGGACGTATTTGCGTTCAGCCAGAGAATGTCTAATTGGTTCAGCTTGTTCACCTGCTCAATTTCGTATATATCTCAGTCGCTCTCGCGCTGGTATCGTTGTCAGTTGACAAGAACATCACAGTTAGGTCACCAGGGCTGGGTGATATATCGATATATTTCAAATTTGCGCTATGATACTTGCTCCAAGCAAGCTGCTGACTGCTTTTGTAGAAATATGTAGCAGCTATATCGTGCATTCTGTCAGTTGCAGTCCTGACACCTCCGTCTCAACAGCATTAGTGTACAACGCAACAAATACTCGCAATATTAACGCAGAGGAATGGCTACATCAGTTCAGCGAGTTCACAAAAGTTAATTTGCATGTGCTTTAAAGCCTTGCCGGTTAAACATGTCATTCACTGCTGATGCGCTGTTCTGAGCGCGAACACCCGACGTGCACATGCACTAAAAGCTTGTCTAACAGCGCCTGGTTGCTGGACTAAGTTATCTTTCGAGTATTATTTCGCTAATACTCTCAAATACAAACAAGGTTTACATAAGAACATTTGGTTATGTCTAAACTCAAAGCAAACAGAGAAAATTGAGAGAAATCTGCTTGTCAAATGCTCCGTGTATATTAGACGTGTCGCGTACAAGTCTTAAAGTGACAGTAGCCCTAATAATAAAAATGCAGCCGCTTGTTCTTAAAGGGATAGTTGACCCCAAAATAAAAATTCTGTCATTATTTATTCATTGTAATGTTGTTCCAAACCTGGATTCATTTATTTCTTGTGCTGAACAAAAAAGAAGATATTTTGAAGAATGTGGGTAACCAGACAGTTGCTGGTCCCCATTGACTTCCATAGGGAAAAATTCACTGGGATACATCAACTGTTTGGTTACCCACATTCTTCCAAATAACTTAAACAGAAGAAAGAAACTTATTCAGGTTTAAAACAACTTGAGAGAGTAAACGATGACAATTAAAATTTTTGGGAGAACTATCTATTTAATGTTAATTAAACAACAAAACACAGAGGAAATCACTCACTGCTCTTGACTGAGAACTTTAATAGTAGCTTTAATAAGAATTAATGTATAAGTTATACAGTGAAGACAATATTTGACTTTCATTGAACATTTGCTGTCACGTTGCGGAAAAGAAATTGGGATATATATCGATCGGGGGGGTGAGGGGGGTGCTCGGTATATTTTCCTGCTTTTTTGTTCTTAGCCAATCACATGCCTGAAGATTATCGCAATTTACTTTTCACGTTCGACTACAAGTTCTTGCCTTTAATTAATGTTGTCTTTTTCTGTCATCTACAGGGCAAGAATGCGTTTTTTAGAGATTTGGCGTCCATTCAGTTGCTGCCCAGTGGAGATATGGACCCCAACCTGGTGGCTGTGAGACAAGAAGTGAGTCAGAACTGTCGTTTTTTTCGTGTCGAAATTTTGAGTTTCTCCAATCTACTTGATACTCTGGATTCTGATAGAGGGCCATGGGACTTAGACCTGAGTGCAAAAACGGAGGCTCTAGACCCTTCCTGAGCTGAGATATTGAGATCCCACGTAGCATTTATGCCATTATAATATTATCAGAATCCAGAGTTTCAAGAAGATTGGAGAAACTTTTTTTTCGCACCAAAAAAAAAAAACGAAAGGGGTACCACTGTCGTTTTTTTTGGAGGGTCGAAATTTTGAGTTTCTCTGATCTTCTTGAAACTCTGGATTCTGATAGAGGGCCATGGGACTTGCACCTGAGTGCAAAAACGGAGGCTCTAGACCCTTCCTGAACTGAGATATTGAGATTCCACGTAGCATTTATGCCATTATAAATATCTCAATATCTCAGCTCAGGAAGGGTCTAGAGCCACCATTTTTGCACTCAGGTCTAAGTCTCATGGCCTTCTATCGGAATCCAGAGTTTCAAGAAGATTGGAGAAACTTTTTTTTTCGCACCAAAAAAAAAAAAACGAAAGGGGTACCACTGTCGTTTTTTTGAAGGGTTGAAATTTTGAGTTTCTCTGATCTTCTTGAATCTCTGGATTCTGATAGAGGGCCATGGGACTTGGACCTGAGTGCAAAAAAAAGTAGGCTCTAGACCCTTCCTGAGCTGAGATATTGAGATATTTATAATGGCATAAATGCTACGTGGGATCTCAATATCTCAGCTCAGGAAGGGTCTAGAGCCTCCGTTTTTGCACTCAGGTCTAAGTCTCATGGCCTTCTATCAGAATCCAGAGTTTCAAGAAGATTGGAGATCTCAATATCTCAGCTCAGGAAGGGTCTAGAACCATCATTTTTGCACTCAGGTCTAAGTCTCATGGCCTTCTATCAGAATCCAGAGTTTCAAGAAGATTCGAGAAACTTTTTTTTTCGCACCAAAAAAAAAAAACGAAAGGGGTACCACTGTCGTTTTTTTTTGGATGGTCGAAATTTTGAGTTTCTCTGATCTTCTTGAAACTCTGGATTCTGATAGAGGGCCATGGGACTTGGACCTGAGTGCAAAAACGGAGGCTCTAGACCCTTCCTGAGCTGAGATATTGAGATCCCACGTAGCATTTATGCCATTATAAATATCTCAATATCTCAGTTCAGGAAGGGTCTAGAGCCACCATTTTTGCACTCAGGTCTAAAGGCCTCATTATGCTTCTGCGTCAACTCCACGGCGTAGCTACGTCGTCACCACTACGGCGTCGTGGCCGTTTTATGCTTCTCCGTGAGGTTGTGGTGCATCGCGGTGCATTTCGCCGCCAGAACGCTAGGGGGGTTCGCGAATCTCTTTGGTTCCGTGCGCCGCGAGCGAAAGAGAGAGAATGTTGTTTTTGCAGCTGTCAGCTGGAGCTAATCCATAGACATATACACGGAGCTAATCGACGTTAAAATAACGAGACGACACAAACTTTATTTCCACAGAATCAACACGGATGTCCAGGGCCCGTTACACCCATAGACAGTAAAATAAAGGGTCCACCCGAGCTGCCATAACGATACCTGTTCGAAATGACTTGAATGATTTTTTTTCAGTCTCCACATGGAACTGTGCTATGGCAGGATATAATGTGTCCCGTGGCAGACTTGGTTAGTACTGTATTATCAATGATGTAACCGTGAACATTGTATTGAAAATAAACAACAAACTGTGTTTCAAAACAAACGTCGATTTATTGATTGATTGAAGTTTATTGCGAGCAAAAAAGAAAGAAAAGAATATAGACATTAACAATGAAATAAAAAAAACAGTTTATTTTTCGTTTAATTCTTTATTTACTTTCTTTATAAGAGCATTATAATTATCAGAACGAGGGTGCAGGTGCAAATGTTAAAAATAGCGCTAATAGCGGGAGGGGAATCGGAAAAGTTACACTCCTGAATTGATGTATAATCTGACCAATCAAAGCCCTTGCTGTCTGCGTCGCCTCGACGCGTAGTTACAAATTTTTGGAGGTGCACGTCGAGCTACGGCGGAGGGGTCGGAGAGGGGTTCGCGTCGACGGATAGGGGTCTGCGGGGGTACGCCGTCGATTCGACGCAGAAGCATAAAACAGGCTTAAGTCTCATGGCCTTCTATCAGAATCCCGAGTTTCAAGAAGATTGAAGATCTCAATATCTCAGCTCAGGAAGGGTCTAGAGCCACCATTTTTGCACTCAGGTCTAAGTCTCATGGCCTTCTATCAGAATCCAGAGTTTCGAGAAGATTGGAGAAACTTTTTTTTCGCACCAAAAAAAAAAACGAAAGGGGTACCACTGTCGTTTTTTTGGAGGGTCGAAATTTTGAGTTTCTCTGATCTTCTTGAAACTCTGGATTCTGATAGAGGGCCATGGGACTTGGACCTGAGTGCAAAAACGGAGGCTCTAGACTTTTGGCTTTTTGCTTTTGGCTTGCTTTGAGCTTGCTCAGTTGGGGTTATTTAGTGTTTAGCAATGTTGTTGATCTGTGTTGTGCTACTTTCATGTTATCACTGTGAAGCTGCTTTGATACAATCTGTATTGTGAAAAGCGCTATATAAATAAATGTGACTTGACTTGACTTGACTAGACCCTTCCTGAGCTGAGATATTGAGAACCCACGTAGCATTTATGCCATTATAAATATCTCAATATCTCAGCTCTGGAAGGGTCTAGAGCCACCATTTTTGAACTCAGGTCTAAGTCTCATGGCCTTCTATCAGAATCCAGAGGTTCAAGAAGATTGGAGATCTCAATATCTCAGCTCAGGAAGGGTCTAGAGCCACCATTTTTGCACTCAGGTCTAAGTCTCATGGCCTTCTATCAGAATCCAGAGTTTCGAGAAGATTGGAGAAACTTTTTTTTCGCACCAAAAAAAAAAAACGAAAGGGGTACCACTGTCGTTTTTTTTGGAGGGTCGAAATTTTGAGTTTCTCTGATCTTCTTGAAACTCTGGATTCTGATAGAGGACCATGGGACTTGGACCTGAGTGCAAAAACGGAGGCTCTAGACCCTTCCTGAGCCGAGATATTGAGATATTTATAATGGCATAAATGCTACATGGAATCTCAATATCTCAGCTCAGGAAGGGTCTAGAGCCACCATTTTTGCACTCAGGTCTAAGTCTCTTGGCCTTCTATCAGAATCCACAGTTTCAAGAAGATTGGAGAAACTTTTTTTTCGCACCAAAAAAAAAAACGAAAGGGGTACCACTGTCGTTTTTTTTTGGAGGGTCGAAATTTTGAGTTTCTCTGATCTTCTTGAAACTCTGGATTCTGATAGAGGGCCATGGGACTTGAACCTGAGTGCAAAAACGGAGGCTCTAGACCCTTCCTGAGCTGAGATATTGAGAACCCACGTAGCATTTATGCCATTATAAATATCTCAATATCTCAGCTCTGGAAGGGTCTAGAGCCACCATTTTTGAACTCAGGTCTAAGTCTCATGGCCTTCTATCAGAATCCAGAGTTTCAAAAAGATTGGAGATCTCAATATCTCAGCTCAGGAAGGGTCTAGAGCCACCATTTTTGCACTCAGGTCTAAGTCTCGTGGCCTTCTATCAGAATCCAGAGTTTCAAGAAGATTGGAGAAACTTTTTTTTTCGCACCAAAAAAAAAAACGAAAGGGGTACCACTGTCGTTTTTTTTTTGGAGGGTCGAAATTTTGAGTTTATCTGATCTTCTTGAAACTCTGGATTCTGATAGAGGGCCATGGGACTTGGACCTGAGTGCAAAAACGGAGGCTCTAGACCCTTCCTGAGCCGAGATATTGAGATATTTATGATGGCATAAATGCTACATGGAATCTCAATATCTCAGCTCAGGAAGGGTCTAGAGCCACCATTTTTGCACTCAGGTCTAAGTCTCTTGGCCTTCTATCAGAATCTACAGTTTCAAGAAGATTGGAGAAACTTTTTTTTCGCACCAAAAAAAAAAAACGAAAGGGGTACCACTGTCGTTTTTTTTTTGGAGGGTCGAAATTTTGAGTTTCTCTGATCTTCTTGAAACTCTGGATTCTGATAGAGGGCCATGGGACTTGAACCTGAGTGCAAAAACGGAGGCTCTAGACCATTCCTGAGCTGAGATATTGAGATACCACGTAGCATTTATGCCATTATAAATATCTCGGCTCAGGAAGGGTCTAGAGCCACCATTTTTGCACTCAGGTCTAAGTCTCATGGCCTTCTATCAGAATCCAGAGTTTCAAGAAGATTGGAGAAACTTTTTTCGCACCAAAAAAAAAAAACGAAAGGGGTACCACTGTCGTTTTTTTTGGAGGGTCGAAATTTTGAGTTTCTCTTATCTTCTTGAAACTCTGGATTCTGATAGAGGGCCATGGGACTTGGACCTGAGTGCAAAAACGGAGGCTCTAGACCATTCCTGAGCTGAGATATTGAGATACCACGTAGCATTTATGCCATTATAAAAATAGTGGGTTATTACTATTGCCAGTACTGTAAAAATACAAGAAAACACAATGCACACAGGAAATGACTCTAACATGAATGCATTGATTGATTCCTAGGTTTATTTTGTTATGAATAAACAAATGTGCAATATATAAAGGAAAAACCTTACAATTAAAGTTGTAATGTTATAATGTAAGTTTTTGTTCTAAAAAAGAAAGATGCACACAGAAAATGACTCTAATATGACCAGATTGATTGATTTAAAGATATTTAGTTTGTTACAAACAATGTGCAATCTGTAAAACAAAAACCTCAAAATTAAAGTTGAAATGGTATACTGCTGAATTGTTTTTTGACCTTGAGAAAAAGCTGAAAGTATAGACCAACAAATTTTATGTTTATTAATTTATTTCATGTTGTTACATTTTTTGGGAAGTACACTTGTTTTGACCTGATGTCTATTGGAATAGACAAAAAAAATCACAATGAAAGCAATTATATAAAAAAAAAAATCATTTGTTTTCATTTATAGAAACCTCATGAGCTGGGAAAATGTACTTTTATATTTTTCAGAAACTTGAAACATAATTCAGGTCTGAGGGGCTTAACATTTTTGTTTTATAGTCAGTCTAACATGCATCTTGTACAGTGACAGTGAAATGTTGACCCCGTAATGATTCTCGGATAACGGGTCGTAAGATGTTTTTAGCTCACCTCTGAAACCAAAGTTGATGCACTGTCTTACTGTATTACTGTGTGTGTAGTTTCTGATGAACGTGTTAACAGGCTGGGTGAAGGTTCTAGCTGAAGCTGAGGAGAACGGTGTGAAACAAATTGGTTCTGAAGACATGTGGCCGTCTGTGTGTATGGAGCTCTCGTCTCTACTGCAAGTCAATACTGACATACTACGCAGACACCTTGTTTGTGAGCTCTATAACCAGGGCCTGGACCTGCGGGCAGAGGAGGTAACGCACACACACACATTGTTAAACCTCGAGCGTACATACACGAGTAAAAGTTCATGCTTTTTTCTTTTATTTTTCTTTTCGTAATTGTTGTTTCTTTCTGTAAGGCCTGCTAGTGGAATATATATATATATATATATATATATATATATATATATATATTGTCTTTTCGTAATTATTTTTTCTTTCGTTTGTTCTTATAATTTTTCATTGTCTTTTCCTTATTTATGCTCTGTATATATATCTTTTTTGGTACATTTTTTTTTTGTCATTGAACTTTCCATATTTTTCTTTCTATTGTAATCTCTCAGGTGATGATGGAGGTGCAGGACAAGGATGTTTTGGGTTCTCAGCTGCTGGTGTTGACTGGTCAGAGACTCTCCTTCTCCCTACTCCACTCCCAGTCACAGACTAAACCCAACATGGAGCTGCTGGCCCGTCTGCCACCGACCCTCTGCACCTGGCTAAAGGCTATGGTAAGAATACGCGGCCTGCACAGTTTGCCAATCTCTTACTGTCTTACAATCATCTGTATCATGCTTTGTGTGTTTTAGGACCCCAGTGAGCTGCGCTGTCCTTCAGTACCTCTGTCTCAGAGCAGTCAACTGATCAACAAAGTCGTCGAGATGCTCCCCGAAAACCACGCCCAGTATAGCCTTGCCCTCCACCTGCTGGATGCTGTGGACTCTTTACACGAAGAGCCCTGATATAGAGAAATGCATTGGAGGAGGAAGAATGAGAATCATGTTTTTAAATATTCCAGACTCAAAAACCTTCCCAGGAGCCTAAAGACCTGGATAACCATCCAGTCAGCAGCCTAAATAAATGCATCATCATCATCATCATCATCATCAGTAATTTGCTTAATTTAGCAGGCTTTAATCTTTTTTCCTGTCTGTCACTAAAATAACATATCAAGAACACTAGCACTTCTAGAGGATGTGCTACCCCACAATGCCTGTGCACATTGAACGTGTCACGAACAAGGGCCTGGAGTCTCTAGTGTCTAGAGTGTTATTAGGATAAAAACTATGTTATTCATGTACAGCAGTCCTGTAATTAAAGAAGGGCATTCTTTACAAGGAAGCCTTAAAATAATATTTGCTTTAATCAGTATAATCAAAACATTACAGTGTATAAACACCATGAGGGGTATATTTTCTATTTCAAATTTTAGATGTTCTCGTTCATTTATTCTGCCAATTAAATGTGTCTGTAATGTCTAATTGGTGCTGTTTATTAGTCAACAAGCACTAAAATGTCATCTGTTAATGTATGTTTATTTTAAATGTTCAACTTTAGGTGTGGTTGCAAGGTGAGAGAAAAGAAAGACCTCTTCTGTAGTGCTGACCTTTTATGCAGTCCTGTACCAGCTGTGCCTGGCTGCTCATATTACATGATACCAAAATTAAAGGTAATTTCCGAGAACTGTTGTATAGCTTATTGTCTTGAAAATGAAACTGGACCATTAAATTATCAGCAACATGCCCTTAATGTGTTCATCAAATATGGGGAACATTGAGGTTCAAACATGCTGGGTTTTGAATGAACGAGCGATTATCTTTTTTCTGTATGCATTGTTTATTGGCATAGCAATAAAACTCATGTCATGAAGCATAATTTACAGGTAAACAGAAACTAAAATCGAAAAACTCTCCTCGCACAGAGCCTCATTTATGAAATTAGCAGAATGAATGTCTACATTTTGTAAAACCAGTCTTTGAAAAAACTGCCACATTCAATCGACGGATTGACATGGCATAGCATTTATGCCATTATAAATATCTCAATATCTCAGCTCAGGAAGGGTCTAGAGCCACCATTTTTGCACTCAGGTCAAAGTCTCATGGCCTTCTATCAGAATCCAGAGTTTCAAGAAGATTGGAGAAACTTTTTTTTTCGCACCAAAAAAAAAACGAAAGGGGTACCACTGTCTTTTTTTTTATGGAGGGTCGAAATTTTGAGTTTCTCTGATCTTCTTGAAACTCTGGATTCTGATAGAGGGCCTTGAGACTTAGACCTGAGTGCAAAAACGGAGGCTCTAGACCCTTCCTGAGCTGAGGTGTTGAGATCCCACGTAGCATTTATGCCATTATAAATATCTCAGCTCTGGAAGGGTCTAGAGCCTCCATTTTTGCACTCAGAACTAAGTCTCATTGGCCCTCTATCAGAATCCAGAGTTTTGAGAAGATTGTAGAAATTTAATTTTTCGCCCGAAAAAAAAAAACACGAAAGGGGTACCACTGTCGGTTTTTTTTAGGGTCGAATTTTTGAGTTTCGATATCTCAGCTCTGGAAGGGTCTAGAGCCTCCATTTTTGCACGCAGGTCTAAGGCCCCCTCCACACTACTGCGTTTTCGTTTAAAAACGGAGACCTTTTGCTACGTTTGCACCTCCCGTCCACACTAAAACGGGAAAAACGAAGACCTAAAACGGAGAAGTTTAGAAACGCTGCAGCTGCGTTTTGCGTTTTGAATCTCCGGAGGGCGTTTTAGTGTGGACGAGACAAAACGGAGGAGTTAACAAACGATGACGCAGAGGCTCACGCTCGTCTCTATGATTGGGTGTCATCAGTCATGACGTATCTTTCCCTGATTCGCCAACCACTGTTTACACCGGCACGTGCATGCCCAGTGTTGGTGAATGGTCACGTGATCCACGTTTTCAGTCGTTTTAGTGTGGACGGAGATAAATTCTAATACGCAGGTAAAACGCTAGTGTGGACGGAGATCATTTTCGTTTTAATTCTCCGTTTTTAAACGAAAACGCAGTAGTGTGGACGGGGCCTAAGTCTCATGGCCCTCTATCAGAATCCAGAGTTTTGAGAAGATTGGAGAAATTTAATTTTTCATCCGAAAAAAAACACGAAAGGGGTAACACTGTCGTTTTTTTTTTTTTTTCGGGTTCGAAATTTTGAATTTCGATATCTCAGCTCTGGAAGGGTCTAGATCCTCCATTTTTTGCACTCAGGTCAAAGTCTCGTGGGCCCTCTATCAGAATCCAGAGTTTTGAGAAGATTGGAGAAACTTAATTTTTCGCCCGAAATGAAAAAAAAAACAAAAGGGGTAACACTGTCGTTTTTTTTTTCGGGTCGAAATTTTTAATTTTGATATCTCAGCTCTGGAAGGGTCTAGATCCTCCATTTTTGCACTCAGGTCAAAGTCTCGCAGCCCTCTATTATAATCCAGAGTTTTTGAGAAGATTGGAGAAACTTAATTTTCGCCCGAAAATGAAAAAAAACGAAAAGGGTAACACTGTAGTTTTTTTTTTCGGGTTCGAAATTTTGATTTTGATATCTCAGCTCTGGAAGGGTCTAGAGCCTCCATTTTTGCACTCAGGTCAAAGTCTCACAGCCCTCTATCAGAATCCAGAGTTTTGAGAAGATTGGAGAAACTTAATTTTTCGCCCGAAACGGAAAAAAAAAAACGAAAGGGGTAACACTGTCGTTTTTTTTTCGGGTCGAAATTTTGAATTTCGATATCTCAGCTCTGGAAGGGTCTAAAGCCTCCATTTTTGCACTCAGGTCAAAGTCTCACAGCCCTCTATCATAATCCAGAGTTTTGAGAAGATT